AAATTCCTGACCTCCTCCTGGAGGAGGGCATGGCAACCCACTCCAGTATTCTTGCCTGGAGAACCCCCATGGACAGAGGAGCCAGGTGGGCTACAGTCCTTAGTCTTGCAAAGAATTGGACATGACTGAAGCAACTTATCTTGCATGGAGGATTAAGTTATGAATTAGTAGAAGTCAGCTATGATTTTAACAGTTTTTTTTTCCCCCTATACCCATGTTTTAAAGTTTAAATCTGTAGGAACAATCTGCTTTAAGACAGATTTGTGGTAATCATCTTCAAATGTAATGATGGGGAGTTATTATACCCTTGAAAACAAGCCTTGAGTTAGAAAGGCTTTACAGAGCTGTGGCTAGGAATAGCTGTTTAGCTTTATGAGGTGCCCCTACCTTCATTCAGTAAATTGGTGTGAAATTATAGGTGCCAGCTACTGAGTTTCAACTAGAAATAGTACTCATGGCTGTTGCACTTTCCTTGCTACTGGGTTTGAAAATACTCAAGTTTCCAAGTTCCAAGGGAACATTTTGAAGCCAAAACCCATCATCTTTTTGAGCTCTTGAGTCTACCTCTGAAGTTTATACTGATATTCAGAAATTGAAGCTATACTTTGAACAGTGAAGAGAAAGTATGATGAAATTATGTCTTTTGGAATGATAAGAAAAGTTGTGAACATATGTTAGAATGATTTTTAACACTGCTTATTTTAATGTCCAGCACTGGTTGGGATAAAATAAAGAACATCAGCATACAAATATAAAAAACACATTAGGCTGATATAGACTAGTACAGCCCTTATGGGTTTTTATAGCTGATGTCCACTCAGACTGGTCAGAGTATCTGTACTGATATGTTGATGTTTCTGCTCTAGAGTTTGTTAAATATTTTTAGTGTCTCCTGTGTATTTATGTACAATTGAAGGGAAATCAAGTGGGGGGCAGGAATGGCGTTGGTAAGAGTTAGTACAGTTTCTGACACGTCTGAGCGACTTCACTTTCCCTTTTCACTTTCCTGCATTGGAGAAGGCAACGGCAGCCCACTCCAGTGTCCTTGCCTGGAGAATCCCAGGAACGGCGGAGCCTGGTGGGCTGCTGTCTATGGGGTCACACAGAGTCGGACACGACTGAAGCGACTCAGCAGCAGCAGAAGCAGCACAGTTTCTGTCTATAGATTCCTCTTACAACGAAGGATATTTTACATTCTATGTTTTCGTTGTATAAATGACTGGGCCCTCCACCATAACTCCTGACCCAACGTGAACATCTCTCTTCCACAAAGTCATCTTTGTTGTTGTTGACTTGCTAAGTCATGTCCTATCCTTTGAAATCCCTTGGACTGTAGCTCACTAGGCTCCTCTGTGATGTCCTAGACAAAAATACTGGAATGGGTTGCCATTTCCCTCTCCAGAGGATATCCCCAACCCAGGGATCAAACTCAAGTCTCCTGCATTGCAGGCAGATCTTTACCACGGAGCCCCCTGGGAAGCCCGTAACCAGCACTGCACTCCACTAAATGATTACGGTTTTCAGGCAATTCAAATGCACGGTAGTTAATTTGATCCTCACAGCAGTTCAGTATGGCTTTGGTATAATTCTCTCTCTTTTAAATCTAGAAGCTGAAGCAAGGAGAGTTTTAAAAACATTCCCAAGGTCCAAATTCTCTATAACTGCAATTAGATGTCATTTTAAGTGATACCAAGGTATCATTGCAATAATATAAACACTATATGCTAGAACTTTATGCGTTAAAGACATATGGGTTAACGTCTTTTAGAAGACTGACCTAGTGATATAAACTCCAGTTGGAATATTTTGAGAAGAAGCATTCCCAGGGTTCACACAGCTTCCGCAAAGATAAAGTCACATATCAGGCTGTTGAAAGCAGAGACCTGGAAGCCACACACATTTAAGTGTCTGTACTTTTTCAGTCACTTGTTAGACAGGAGAGCTGGCCCTGTCATAGAGCCTCTTTAGCTTCCATTTCTGATTGTGCAACTTGGGAGTTGCAACATAGAACTTGTTTCTTAGCCAGTAGTGAGTGTTGTCACCAATGACATGGTAGGCTTAACACTCAACCTGACGTATCCTAGTGCTCATTAAGTGTTAGTTATCTGTACTACAGTTATATGCTTTCCCGTATGTAACATGGGAAAACCTGTTTATAACTTTCATAAAGCTACAAATGATAATCTCTCAGCCTTTTTCTCTTATGCTCCTAGCAAGTCTGGAAGAATGCCTCATCAGCGAGGGAAAGAGGTGAAGGAGAAACCAGATAGCAGTGAAGAACAGGGAATGCAGGCTGTTTACAGATCCTCCTGGAATCTCAGAGGCCTTTTGTTACTTCACTTGAACACTTTGAGAATTCTTATTCAAAATATTGATACTTGAAATTCTGTTCTAGGTCAGTTGGTCCTCTAAATCTGTTAATTTACACTACATGGGGCTTCCCTGCTCACTCCGTTGATAAAGAATCCGCCTGCAATGCAGGAGACCCCGGTTCAATTCCTGGGTCAGCAAGACCCGATGGAGAAGGGATAGGCTACCCACTCCAGTATTCTTGGGCTTCCCTTGTGGCTCAGCTGGTAAAGAATCTGCCCACAATGCAGGAGACCTGGGTTCAATCCCTGGGTTGGGAAGATTCCCTGGAGAAGGGAAAGGGTATCCACTCCAGTATTCTGGCCTGGAGAATTCCATGGACTGTATTGTCATGGAGTCAGACACGACTGAGTGACTTTCACTCACTTATTCAAAATATTGATTCTCGAAATTCTGTTCTAGGTCAATTGGTCATCTAAATCTGTTAACTTACATTATGTACTATTTTGCTTAATTCATTGCTACCTCAAATTTGTTTGCATTCAGGTAACTAATAGTGTGTTTGTATTAGTACAGAACTGCAGTTACATAGTTTTTCAGGTTTTATTAAATAATATTATTTGATGTTGAGTAAATATTTTCAGGTTTCATTAATTTGGCTATATATTATGTGCCTACCTCATAGAAGGAATCGGGCTAAGGTTATGATGGTGAAGAAGACAGATACAGCACCAACTTTCATTGACCTTAGATTCTAATAAGAAAAGAAGAGTGTCAATCAGAGAATCACACAATTGAAGAAAGAATTTACTCATTTTGAAAAATGCCATGATGGAAATAAACTGGGTGCTCTCAAAAAGTATAGGTGGAGAGCAAGGATGGCATTAGATAGAGTGGTTAGGGGATCCTTCTGGAGGAAATAACATTTGAACCAAGACCATAATGTGAGAGGAGACTGCTCATAGGGAAGATGGGATGGAGAGAAGCCATTCCAGGATGGGGAGGTAAGACCACTCCGCGGCATTTCAGATGTTCTGAGGAGCTCCAGTTCTTATGTCTATGTGCAGAAAGAATTCAGGGCGAGGCAAAGTGACAGATAAGAAGTGATTCATTAGAACAAGATGCTCATGAGACCTAAAAGTGGGCAGGTGAGGGCGTGCCACACCCCACAAACTTAGTGGGCTACAGTTTTATAATCAAAGGGTGGGGGGAGAAGATCACCTTATTCCTCATTTTTTGAATAGACATGATATTTCCATCACTAGTTCTTCCTCCATGTCAGGAAGGGGAGTTTTCTTATCCCTACATGGTCAAGCCCAGATTGTCATGCACAATGGAAATGAGTGAAAAGGTGGCAACCCATGCTAAAAATGGTAAATCATCGCAGGTTTTAGTATAATGTTACCCTGTCCTTATATTTTTGTTTTTAGTGTATGCAAAGGAGTGTGTCCTAGGAATCATTAATTTATTGAGCTCACTGGGCGGGATGTAGGTCTCATGCCACAACTGTTTAATTGTTTGGGAGCATGTCTCATGCTTCTGTTGCTTGGTTTTATTGCTAAGCAAGCCTGGTTGGTTTTGTGGTTAAGCCAACCTGCTTTCTAGAGTGATCATTAACTTGCAGGGGTCTCATACTTTTTTCTTGACTTACAATTCCTTAGTGGGATTAACTATTTAATTACTTACTTTATCCCTGTCTTACTAGTAAGACTTACTAGTAAGTACTTACTAGTACTACAGGGATTTACTACTAAATCCCTATTACTTACTTTATACTTGTCACTATCAGAGGTAGCGTAGCCAAAGGCACGACCAAAAAAATCCTCTGAATACAAGTGATTTCTATGAGACTGATGTATAATGAATAAAAAAAAGACACCGTGGTAGAAGTGTTGATTTCATTCTAAGTTCCATGAGATGGTCTCTTAAATGAGACATAAGCTCAGAAATGACACCATCCAATTTAAGTCTTAAAAATTCCCCATGGGGGCTGTAGTTTGACTAATTATCTCCCAACTGGGAAAGCACAAAGGAATGCTGTTTGGTCCTGGCGGGAGAAAACTGTGACCCAGACCAGAGTGGGTGAGAACTGGATAGGGAAATTTAAGGAGAAACAGGATGTAGACGAGTTAGGCAGAAATCCAAACGTTTGTATTTCATCTTCCTTTATGTCTTTAGTATTTATTATACTACCATCTGCATATGGATACAATTTTCTACCATTGAGTAAAAGCATTCCTATATGATTTTGACATGAAGGGGAGATATCCTATCCTGTTATGAAGTTAAAGAAGTTAAATTTTCAATGCAAAATTTGAGAGCATTCACTGCAGATGATCATTCCTCTTGTTAAATCACTTCTATATTTCGTTTATTCATTCAGCAAATATTTGAGTAACACATAAGAGTCAAAAATGTATCATTTTGCTAAAGTTGTATTTTTAATTGTTCTATGTAAACAACAAGAAATGCTTCTCCAGGAAAATGGTATCATTGATTTACTCTGGGGATTTCCTCACCCTTGTGGTTTTAGGACTTAATTAACTCCATTTATTTCCCTAAATTCCTTCTTTCTAATGTATGATGATGCTTATCAAAATACTTTTTTTCAGGATTTGAAACTGGAGTTTGAAAAATATTAAGAAGAAGTCTTAATCCACATTCTGTTAATTCTTGTGTTTTTTCAATAGAAAAAAGAAAAAGCCTCTGTGATGATACAGAACAACGCTTATGCAGTGGCTGTTGCCAATTATGCCCCGAATCTTTCAAAAGACCCAGTTCTCTCCACCATCTCCAAGAGCGCAACCACGCCAGAACCCAACAAGAAACCAGAAAACAAACCAGCTGAAGCCAAGAAGACTTTCAATAGCGTTAGCAAAATTGACAGAATGTCTAGAATAGTTTTCCCAGTTCTGTTTGGTACATTTAATTTAGTTTACTGGGCCACATATTTAAACAGAGAACCTGTATTAGGGGTCAGTCCTTGATTCTAGGCACAGGTTGTCTTTGAGATGTATAGCGACATTACACTTGGTTTGTTTTGCCATGTACAGTCTGACTAATAACTGCTAATTTGTGAACCAACATGTACAGTATGTATATAGCATCACAGCTTATAGACCTCTAATGGAGACACGCATTTGCTAACCAATGGCAGAAGGCGCCCCAGGCCCAATGAGCCGTTGCCTTTTTAAAAGATTTACCCTCGGAATTGGTCTAAAGTAGATTTCAGGTGATCTGATTTATTTTCTCTTATTCTAACAGCAATGAAAATGGAGATCTTACACCACCCTTTATGGACCCTTTTGATTTAGGTCTGACATAGGAGTGTTTTCTACTCTTCCCTAACTATAAAGTAAAATAACATTGTCTTTCCAAGTTGAATTCCTCTAAATAACAGAACCTCCTATCTTTCCTTCTTGAGTGCTCAGAATCCCTGCTAATATAATTGGAAGCTTAGCACACATCTGAAGAAAAACTAAAGATTTGAAATCAGCTTTTAATTACTCTGTTTAGTATCTATAGCCATGTACATACTACGGCATGACAAATTCAAATAATTGTGAGTCACCCTGACAAGATGTTCAGTATGCCTAGGATTTAATAACTGTTGGAATGCCATGGTCATCACATGTTTCACATCAGAGTTTATTTGAAAGTAATAATTGAAATCCTCCAGATTATTTTAATCATTGGAAACTACCTTAAATTAAAAAAAAAAAAGATGATAAATAGGTCTTAGTATTTCCAGGTATGTGTTGTATTGAAATTGATCAGCTAAATTTTCTTGGTGCTGGACGTGGAAAAGACATCCAGCTTGGCTGCTGTGGAGCAACATTCATATTGGATTAGAAAACTGTGCCAAAAACTCCCATCAGTGAGAATTCATAGGTGTCACGGAGTAAATATGAGCACTTAGATGATTCTCTCCTTTCTTGTTTACTGCAAATTCTGCCTTAAGGCTTCTTTTCATCAGGACTCAGAAGCCAACTAATTACAGAGAACAGGGCAGTTAATTGGCACATTTTTCTGTCTTGAAAGCAGCTCTTTCAGATAAGAATTAATGTAAATTCTGCTTTTGTAAATTGCAACTTTAAATTTCTCTGACTCAAATTTGCAGCTTTGTATATGAGAAGAGGTTTTGGTAAGAGTTGAACATTTTTAAACTGAAACTTTAAAGCATCACCAACAGATTGTGGATTAGTTCACATGCATGAACAAAACACACACACCCACAATTAGCTCAATTAGGGTATGTACACAAATATTTAGCTAAATTAGAAACCACGGTTTTCAATTTTATATAATTACTAATTACTAATGAGCAAAATTCATTTTCCTTTTAGAATTTAAAATACTCTTTATGCCCCTGAAATATGTTACAGAAATTATTAATTGTGTCTCATGTTATTAGACTCAACATTTTGGGTAAACTTAAAATCCTTTAAACTCACATATACATTAGCAGTTATTAGTTGACTTTTACTAATAGATACACCTTTATGATGGTGTTTTTGTAGAGACATAAGTAGTCAAATAGTGGCATTTCTTGCAGTTTTGTACAGTATTTCAGTATAGTGCATAAATAGGTATGTTCATAAAATCAATAAAAGAAGTTATCTTATGGAAACAAGCAAAATCACAGCAAAAACTGCTATTCTTTTGCATCGTTTATAGTTTTTATTTTTTTCATTTTTTTGTTTCAGTGTGATTCTGTTATGTGCTTTGCATGGTTGTATTAATACCAAGGTCACAAATGCATCTTATTAACAGAATTTGCCGTGAAGACAGCCTTGACATTAAAAATTCCCTCACAAAAGGTAATCCATAATCTTTAATAAAATAAACTTGTTACATGAGCCAATAAATGTATTGTTTAATTCCCTTCCAAAGCACTTTTTCGGTCATCTAAATGGTTTTTAAAAGTGCACTTTATTCATATACTGCAATGGAATATATCCTATTTTCTTACACATTTGAATATATCATAGCTCTTCCAGGTGGTTTAGGGAAGGGTGCAGTACTAAGACAGTACACAGTGCTTGAAGGCAAGCAATAAAAATGCTTTGTATGGTGTGTATTGTTAAGCATTTTAAAATATTGTAAGTTCTGCATTTCCCCCTTAATGTGTGACTATACATTATAAATTTATAAATATGTACATATGTAAAAATATTTGTAAATAGCAGTTTCTGTAGGACAACAGAAAAAAACTCATCTATACCTTTGCAAAAGGCTGCTCCTACATTGATGGTACCTGTTTATTAAAATTTATGGTAGATTGACCAGAAAAGTTATCATTACTGTTATTTTTACTTTTAGTTTCAATTGTTAAAATTGTATTTGAGCCTGATAACATCTTGACAGTTGATATAGTCCAGTAATGTGGATCGGGGTCTTCTATTTTCTTTAACTTTCTTTTTTATTTTTAAACACACTTCCTAGCCTTTTAAAGTTTAGATAAATTGAAGAAGCTTTAGTCTTGCTGGAGCGAGGGAGGATTCTTCATGGTAAAGGATTTTAAATTATAGAACAAGAGTCTTTACAATTATTCTCCCTTCCATAAATCCTTTTAAAAACACAAAATAAAAGTGACATGGATTTATTAAAAATAAGATTAATAACTTCAGAAAACATTTTTAATAAAATAACAATAGTCTTTTTGGCCCATAATATCATGATTATTTTATGCAGTTGTATATTGACATAAAGAGTTATGGTATGTACAAAATGTACATAAATACATGTACATATATGGAGATATAATCTCATTATTGTATAGTAACTGCCCTGATTAAACTAACCTAATATTTGTTCAACAAATATCTTTATCTCCTACTGTTTTCCATGCCATGGGGATGTGTTAATACCACTCATTTCATGTCCACAGAATTTAGTTGAAAATCAAAGTGCATCTCATTCTTGTAAAGACTTTAAATCAAAGACCAAATATAATATATAAGTTAATTCATCACTGAGAATTGATTAATGAGTTATGAGATCATGAGTGTGCTAAGATGGTGGCTGTTTTGCTATTTTCTTCTGTTTATGTTTATATTTGTTTGACTAGAAAATGGAACTCATACAAAACCATTGAATAATTTTTTTAAACTTCAGTGAATTTTAAAGTGCCAGTCTTAATGTTTAGCAATCTTTTCAGGGATCTATTTCGAATTTATCTCAGGTTTGGATAAGTGATCCCCTAGAGCCACATTTCCAATTTTTTTTTAAGTAGTTCATTGTTTATTTTAAAAGAGCACAAAAGCTATCATTTCACTTATATTTTTTTGGTATATATACATATATATAAAGTTTTCATGATATGGCTCTTTTCATATTGCTGGTTGAAGGAACTCAACTCTGCCATGATGTCATAGATCCTAGAAGGGCCCCAAAATCGTGTGGAGTCTGTTGATGTTGTACTTTGACATGGCCTGTCATCATCCCAATGTGAGAATAAGGGAAGTAGGTCTGGTCCACCTTCTGCAAAGTCATGGTTCTTCAGCATCTATCAAAAATTTTTTTTTTCCAAATGCTTCATACTTATTACACTCAGACAGTGCCTGTGAAATACCAAAATATTTATGACTCATTTGAAATTTGGGACCTTATTAATAGCTTTATTATATTGGTTTTCCTGTTATTAGTCTTCTGGCATTCCTATATCCATCTGCATATTTTTGAAGCAATTCTCAGATTTTTTTTCTGCCTATAGAAAGAATCAATTTCAAATTATGAGTTGATCGATTGCTACCCTGTAATGCACTTATTTTCCTCTTAATTTAGGTCTCTGGCAACCTTGGGTTTACCTCTTCTTAATCCAACGTATCCAGAAGCATAAAATTAAAACTGGGAAGGGGTGTGGTTATTTTTTAACACTTACATACTTAGAGACCAGAGACACTGTATCAAAATCACTCATAATAGTATGGATAAGACAAATAATGATATTTTTCTCTATTGAATTCATGCTTTAAAAATGAAATTCAATATTTAATAAAACTCTTAATATCCATAATCTTGCATTTTCAACATTTATATGAAAGATACTAATCTTTTTCATTAATATTTATACACTCATATTTTCATCAAATTCAAAAAATATTTTAAGACCTCAAAAAAAGGGAAAAAAATTCAAAGAGAAAAACCCACTTGAAAAATGTTTATTCCTAGTTAAACCTAATGAGGCACTTTCCCTTTTTAAGTCCTAAGAGAGGTTAGAAATTATACATACATAAGTATATACAGAGATATTTAACAATCATGAGTCTATCAAGGTAAGCATCATGATTAAAGTACTAAGATAGATTAAGTTCATGTCAAAGGCATTTTGGAAAGGTAATTAAAATCTATTTCTTATAAGTTTATATCACTTTCTCAAAAATTCTTAATTATCCAACATGTTTAGATCACAGTTTTCAACCTTATTTAGGTCAAATATTCTATTTTGCCAGTTTATATAAAGAACTTTTTTTAATACTTATAACATATTCCCCACTTCAAATCACTTTCTCTATGATGAAGTTAATACATAAATTAAGATTGCCAGTAGGAAATGCCGAGGAATAAGTTTAGGTGTCAGTTTATAGTAATACTCTCAAAGAACCTTTATAAAGGCCTTAGCTTTGATTAGAAATAGGTGTGTGTGTGTGTGTGTGTGTGTGTGTGTGTGTGTGTGTTTTCCAAGTATAAAAGAATATTTTGAGAAATTTAAACAAATTTATGAAATAGAAACAATTTCTTTTATAATGAATGTACTTCCAAATGTAGCTCTTTTTAAACTGGTAATTAATTTAGCCAATAGAATAGTGTTTTTTCCAATAGATCCAACAAACTTATTCACTGGAATTTAGTCTTGAGCCCCACATAGTTAGAAATATCCTTTCTACAAAGGTGTAAACAATTTTCTGATGTATTTTTGGTTGACTCTTTTGAGCCATTAAATTTAAAATAGTATAACAATTGTGCTTGTAAGATAAGATAAAAA